CCCCCCCCCCCCCCCCCCCCCCCCCCCCCGCTACCCCAGAGCCGCTTACCACCGCGCGTGAAAGACCCCGAAGAAGGTGGTGTTGTGCCAGGAGGCTCCCGGCAGGGTGTGCACCGCCCGCAGCTGGTTGAAGTAGACCTTCAAGTCAGGGGCCGAGCACACCAGCCGCGCTTTCAGGAACGTCGTCCACTTCTTCTGCAGGGTCCGCGCTCCCCCCATGTCGCCCTGGCGGACGGCCGGGAGACGAGGCTGGTCAGCCTGCCGGGCCTCCGGGGCTCCCGCCCGCCCGCCCCCACGGACCCCCGGAACTCGGTACCTTACAGACGCGGGCGACGCGGGCCACCACCTGCTCGGCGTAGCAGTCGTACTCCACGGCCCGCTCACTGAAGAAGAAGTAGATCTTGTCGTCATCTCCCGTGAAGCTCCCCACGCTCTCGGGGACATAGGCGGAGCCTACGAAGTGGGGTTCTGGGGCAAAGCAAGGAGGGTCAGTGGCAGGGTACCGGGGCCCTAGAAGGCCCTCCCACGCTTGGCTTCCCCAGTCCCACTCCACGACTCACCATTCAGCCAAAAGACCAGGTACTCTGTCTTGATGGAGTGGTGGGGCCCCATGTTCCTCAGGATAACGGGCTCTGTACCCAGGAAGTTGTTGAGCGTGGCTGAGTACAGCTCACCATCTAGGGGAGACAAGGGGGGGGGTCAAACAAGCCAGAAGAGGATGTACTCTCAAGCACCAGAGCGTGACTGAGCGGGTCCCAGATGTGCCCGGTCTATACTGCAGGCAGCCACTCACCCACAAGGAGTCCAGTGTGGCCCTTCGCCGGGTCATACGGGCATTTACCCTTCCCATCCTCAAATTCTCCCCGGTCCAAGGTGAAAGTGAGCATGTCCTAGGGACAGGAAGACATGGAAGACAGGCCTTAACACGGGGCCCTGCACAGCCTGGAGAGCCGTGGCCGAGCGGCCAAGCAAGGTCACAGAGGTGAGGGCCAGGTGGGTAAGGGGCACACCCAAGGAGGGGGTCAACACTCACGATGTAGGCACACTTGGGCTGGAAGGCATAGGTCCCGCAGACGTACAGGTGGGAGGCGTTGTACGGCTGCAGGAAGCGGATGAAGTTGAAGCATTCCGTCTTCGGGGAGAAAGGTATACAGTCAGTGAGGCCTGAGGGGCAGAGATCACCGGGGGCCGGGATGGAGAGGGACGCGAGCACGCCACAGGGCCAGGCAGGGGAAGCACTCGACACCCACCTGGTTGCTCTTCCCTTTCTGCGTACACTCGATCTTCTTCTCGGCTGGGGCCTCCCAGGAGATCTGAGGACGGGGAAAAGGCACTTCAGCGCTGTCACAGCCATGTGCTAAGTGGGTGCCGCCAACACAGCGTGAGCCACGCCATGGGTGACACCCGGCCCCCAAACCATCCCGCCTGGCAGAGACCAGAAGGGAAGAGCAACTGCTAATCTTGACACCAAGAGAGACCTCTGGGCTGAGGGGCGGCCTGCACGGGCCACACCCTTGAGTCCTCTCCCTGTCCCTCCGGTGTGCCTCCCACACTGTCCCACCTCTCACCACTCCTTGCAGCTCCAGAGCCTCTATGCTGAAGGCGAACAGCGCCTCTCGGGCCCCCACGTACAAAAGCCCAGAATGCTCTGTCAGGGTCAAGGTCAGGAAGTCCTGGATTCCCGTCTGGGAGAACCGCCTCACTACTGTGGCCAGCTCTGCAGAAACACAGGACAGGGACCAGGCGGAATGAGCAAGGGGATGAGCCATGGCAGCCTCCCTGGGGTTCCAGGAACCCATCCATCTTCCTTCGGCCAAGCATCCCCTGGGTCTCATCATCACAGTTCCTCACGCACCCCACACACACTCAGATGACAGCCAAACCCCGACTGACCATAAAGGACTTTTTTCTGAATAGCCTTTGGCGCAACAGCTCTACCCTGCTTCTCCAGCCTGGGAGGAAGCAATCTGGGCTGGTAAAGCGGAAGGAAGGCTATCTCAGCCAGAGCTTCCGGCCAGAGGAAGCCATCTGACGGATGGCTCTCGCTCGGGGTCAGCGGCACCTCAGGCACGGAGCTGGGCTCTTCCCCCACCTGGCTTCCTCAGCTGCTATTTCCTCCTTTGCTCTCCTACTTGCTGACCCCATTAGGGTCCAGCCCAGACCCTGGTGGCCCATCTAGTGCATCAAGAAGCACAGAACAGTTGCCAACATCCCTGGTCTAAGAAGCCATTCAGTCCAGCAGGCACCAATCCAGGCTTCTAGAGACACAAGCACAGATGGGCACGGGATGGGCAAGGTGGCGTGCGGAGAAGGAGGAAGATGTCAGGGCAGGGAGCTCAAAGACTCGGCAGTCAGAGGGGGTGGTGAAGGCTGGGAAGCTGGCTACACAGGTAGGGCACGGTCAAGTGTCCAGCCGTGTACTCTGTCAGAGGCCCATCTACCTGCACAGCTGTCACAGGACTCCCGCTCAAGCCAGCCTTAGTCTTTGGAGGAAATGACCAACCAGAGCTGGGTCGGCACGGGAGCGGTGGCGTCAGCAGCTGAGTGCAGCCTGCGGGAGGTGAGCTCATCCGTGTCCCAGGAGCCCATCCATAGATGGTACAAACACCTGACATCACCTCTTCGTACAGGTGTGTGTGCAAAGGAGCGCTGCCTGGTCTGCTCTGCCCTCCCCAACTCAGCAGGAGCCCGCACAGGTGCCCACCTGGGGCCACCAGAAGGCTCCCTCCCATGATAGGGCGGCAGGGGAGGACCATTGGGGTGAACTAAGGGGCTTCTAGGGACAGGCAGCTACAGAAGACTAGAGATGAGGTTAGGCTTACAGTTGCCCTGGGCTTCAGGTTTCTCTCTCTCTCTAGGCTTCCAAGCATGAGTGGCAATTCAAGCATGGAACAGGAGGGTGACTCAGAAACTAGCCCCCTTGCACACCAGGATGGCCAAGTCAGGGTGAGGGTGGGAGGGTAAGGGATCCCACAAAGTTACCACAGTTATCAGAAGGGGGCCAATCCCAGGTCCAGACCCGCACTACCAGTTCTGGGTCCCTGGGGCCACTCACATTTCTTAGAAAGCCACAACCACACATATCAGTATAAAGGTGCACGCCCGGGGATATTTCCTCAGCAGCGGCTTCTTCCTTCCAGTCGGCATGCCCCTTCCCCAGCAATCCATCCCTGCCTCCCGCGGGCCCCGCCTCGCACGCCTCAGGCACTCACCCCCAGAAGATACTGTCTTCCGGGGCACAAGGTCCCACCACATCTCAGCCCCAATGCCCAGGCCCCACAGCCCTGCTGCCAGCAGCCAGACAGCCCAGTGTGGGGCCATGGCAGACACCCAGGGTCTAAACTTCAGTCCAGCAGCCCTGCTGAAGGAAAAGAAACTGGTCAGCATCACAGACCGGAAGGGGGCTCGCACCAAGAGACAGGCAGCACAAGACGCACGTCTGAACGCAACTCCCCCCCCCCCCCAACGCCTGGAGATCCCGCTGCTCCCTTTTTCTTTTTTGTAACAGACCTAGCTCCTACAACTGACCTCTGCCCCCAGAGGCCCTGGGGGTCTCTCAGAAGAGCAAGGGGAGGAACTGAGTCAGCAAGTTCTAGGCGTGGACAGTCATCAAAAAGCCTTCCGTGGCCTCCAGGCCATCCCTGCTCCCTCTCTTCAACAGGGAGTTGTGTAGAAAAAATAAGAAAGAGATCTTCCCTTCACCCCTTTCCTCCTTCAGGCCTAAAAGGTTTCGGAGTTTCTTAGAATAATCGTAAGAAACAGGACCTGCTACCGGTGGGACTCCGGCCAGCCCTGAGACCTAATTCGGAAGGTCTACCCCTTGCTCGGCAGAGGCAGGTCGGCGGTTAGGCAAAGACCTCCAGTGGGGGACCTGGTGCAGCAGGCTGCGTGCAGAGTTCCCGGCCTCAGCCCGTCCCCTCCCCCAGCGCAGACAATAGCCGGGCAGAGCCCAAACCCGGTTCCACATCAGCAGTGCCGGAGTAGGAGTGGGGCCGGGAACCAAATGGGCCCAGCTTCCCGAGGCCCCTTTGTTGCCCAAGAGGGAGGCAGGAAGTGGGTGGGATGGGCGTGGAAATGACCAGGGCCAGTCCTGTTGCTCCCTCGGCTTCTCCTGACCCTCCCGCAGGAGCGGCGGCCGGCAGCGAGGAGGCTGCAGGCTTACGGGGATCTCCCCACCGCGGCGGGAAGCGGGGTCGTGGAGGGAAGTGAAAGGGGTTGGGGAAGCCGAAACGGGGTTCTCCCGGACCAGAAGGGATGCCCAAGAATGGCCCTGGAGGGCTACATCCGTTCCCTCTTCCCTCCTCCCTCCCCGCCCCGGCTCTGATGAACGTTTTAACTCGGGGATTGCACCCCGGGGACCCTGCCCTAGGTACTAGGCCAACGAGGCTGATTTGCACTAATCCAGACGCTCGGGGCTGGGAACAGAGATGCAGAATCTGGGGATTTCACTCCGAAAAACAAAGGTTTCCAGCCAAGACCGGACCGGGTCTCCCTACTGTGGGCTCTCCCCTCCCCCAGCTCCGGGGATTTGAATGCAAACAAAGCGGCAGCTCTAGGAGCGTGGCAAAGGACGCCCCCTGTCGGCCCAAAACCCCAGCGCGGGAAGGCGGGGGGCCGGGGCCGCCTTCCCCCGGGCAGTCCCCCTGACACACCCTCAGCCTCCCCTCCGCCAATTACCCTAGGCTGGGGTCAAAACCCGGTGGCGTGCTCCGAGAACTGGCCCGCGTAGCGGCGACCCAACCCCCAGCTCTCCCCGAGGCCAGGGGCGCGGAGGGGTGCAGGAGCAGGATCGCGCCCCACACTCGCACGCCCGGCCGTGGGTCGTGGCGCTCCCGCGCGGGCCCGGGCAGCGGAGCTCGGCGGAGGGGGCCGGTGCTCCGTGGCCGCCCGCCTCCCCGGCAGAGCGCGGGGGCGGGGGACCGCGCTCGGGAAATCCGATCCCACAACATCGGCCACGGGCCAAGCCCGCCCCGAACTTTCCGTCGGGGTGGGGGGAGCCGGAGCAGCTCGCGAGCCTGGCAGAGACTCGGACCGCACGCCGGACAGCCCGAAGCTCCGCCACCGCCCCCAGCTCGGTCCGCACCCTCGGGGTCCCGCCGTCCCGGCCAGGGGAGCCACAGGCAGCGCTCGTCTCCGTGCCGACCGGCAGCCCGCGGCAGGCTCGCGGGGGCCCCGGACCGGACAGCTGTCCGCGCTGCCGCCTCGCCCTGCACCCCCGGACGCTGTCCCCTGGCGCGCGCGCCGGCCCCTGCCCGAGCGAGGGGACAAAGCGGCGGCCCTGGGGGCCCCACCGCTCCGGCCTCACTCACCTCTCGTGTGCAGCTCCAATCCCTGGGCGCCGCCCTCGCGTCTGGCTCCGGCCACCGGCCTTCCCCGACCCCCGCGCGCTCCAGCCCGCGCGCGCCCGCCAGCCCGCCTGTGCTGCCCGGCGCCCCCGCCCCGCGGCCCCAGCCCGGCTCTCGGCGCCCCTGCGCTCGGGTCCGGCGCTCCGCCGCGCCGGGCGCCGGTTCTTTCTCCGCTGCAGCCGCCGCTCTCCGCCCCCAACCCCCTGACGTCAGGCGAGGAGGGTGTCGAGTGGTGGCCGGGGGGCGGGACGCGGAGGCCCGCCCCGGAGGGAGCTGAGACCCGCCGCCTGGCTGGCCCCGCGCTGGGGCTCGGGGACCCTGGCGACTGTGGCCGCGCGGGAGTGAAGGTCTACGCCTCGGCGCCGGGAGCGGGGAGGAGGGGCGGGGAGGGACTCCAGGCGTTGCCAGCGGGAACCGCACTCACCTGGCCTCCCCGAAGCGTGCGCCTTCAAACCCTTCGGCGAGCTGGCCTCAGGGGGGGGGGGGCTTGGGGGGCTTCCCGGCGCTCCAGTTACAGGAACGAAAGCTGCCGGGCCATTTGGGGACCCGTGTCCAAAGGGAGGGGAGCAACGGAGGAAACTGAAGGAAACTCTCAGGGGCTGATCACGGTGGTCAGGCTTTTGGCTCCAAAGTCCTCCTTTCTGGCCCTAACCCTGGAACTGGAAGGAGCCGCGCACTGGCAGAGACCCCAAGTCTCCAGGCAGCTCCTTGTTTCCAGGCTCCAGCAGAGCCTATTACCCCCCCCCCCCCAGGAAATGACTCCTGGTGCCGCCTGGAAGGTTGATTAACAAGTGGCATGGGCCCTACAGTTCAGATGAAAGGGGCTGAAGGGAGCCACGCTGAGAACCACCACCACCTTCCCTATTCCGCCCACAGCCGCTCCTAGGAGTAGCTTGTAGCTATGGCCTTCTGGGAGGTGCTGGCTGGCAAGTCCTTCCAGCCAGCGGTTCCTGCTCCAGGAGGCAGGTGGACTGATGAACCTGGGGTTAACTGCCCTACCAGTGCTCGCAGACCACCCCTAGCCAGAGTCAAAGGACTGGGACGAAGGCAAGTGGAGGCCTGGAGGTTTCTGTGGTAACTTTAAGCCCCAGGGGCCAGACCTGGAGGAAAAACCACTTTAGACCCCCATCAGCAGATCTGGAGTATACATCAGCCCAACAGCAGCTTTCGTTCTGCTTAAAACTTGGCATCTGAAAAGTGGAGAGAAGAGCAATGGGGGTAATTGAGAAAGGCCGTCCACTTTGGTTTCGGTAACTAGTTCTTAACCGGGGACACAGAAGGGCCCCTTCTCCCTCGCTGGCCAGCTCCTTTCTGTTAGGAAACAAAGCTGTGGCCTCCTCAGAGATGCCAGAGATAGGCAGGCCAGGTATTACCAGGGTGGGCAGGGAGAGTGTCCTGTGGAAGGTGGCCAGGGAGGGGGCCATGCGCTCTCTTCATCAGGCTCCTATCCCATCTGACAAGGCTCTACACAGGTGGCCATGTTCTGTGCTGCCAGAGCGCCTCACTCCATGCTCAGCCCTGGGAGGCTGAGGCAGGCCTTCCCAGCCAGCCAGCTACTGTTTCATTTTTTTAAATTTTATGTGCATTAGTGAGACGGTGTCAGATCCCTTGGAACTGGTATTAAAGACAGTTGTGAGCAGCCATGTGGGTGCTGGGGATTGAACCCACGTCCTTTGGAAGAGCAGGCAGTGCTCTTAACCACTGAGCCATCTCTCCAGCCCCATCTCTCTCTTTTTAAGAAAGATTAAACAAGATCTAAACCTGGCTCAAGTTCATGTAAACAGCAAGGTGAATTTTTTCAGTGAGGCAGCAGTCTATGGCCCCAGCTGGTTGGGAAGGCTGAGGTAGGAAAAGTGTTAGAGCCCATGAATTCACACGAAGCCTGGGCACTACTGAGACTGTCCCCCCCCCCACACACACACACACACAAAAGTTGAGTCCTGGGATTCCTAACTATCTAACAGTCACCATGCTTAGCGCCAACGCTCCATTTCCTGTTGTTTTTCTTTCTCACCTGTAAGTCTTGCCCTCAGGAATGAGGGCTGCTCAGTAGTGATCTGAGCTCCCTGGCTCAGCCTCCAAGGTGGCCCCAGTGGAAAGTTTCAAAAGGTTTTGGTTTCACTGGCGGGGACAGTATTCTGTACCTTCATGGCAGGCGTCAGGGTCTTCTAGGCCAGGGATGGAGGTGGAAATGAGACGCTCCAGTAACAGAGCCCGTAACCTCTCCACGCACAGCTCCTCAGCCACAGGTCCACCCCATGCTCTACCTCTGCACATTCCCTGCCACACTCTGTTTACCGCCACGGTCTCCTCCACAAGTGGGTGGGCAGAAGAGAAAGTTTCCTCGCATGACTACTTGTTCATGATTCATGCTTTTTAATAAAAGGACAGCTGGCAGAAAAATAAAGATCCTGAGTCTTCCATCAAGAAAAAAAATAGTAATACAAAAAAAAAAAAAAAAAAGATAAGGATATATGTGTGCGCTTTCCCTAGGCCTGCCTAGCATAGCCTATGGAAGGCGTCATGCTCTTACTTCTTCCTCAAGCCTCACAGGCCAGTCTCCACTACTTGCCCTTTTTGCTTCAGCTTAAATGCTTGTGGCCAAGTAAAGGAAACACCAAAAGGTAAGCCAAAGGCTTCCCAGGACCCACTGGGTTCAAGCTGACCCACATAGAACCACGTTGTTGTTCAAGAGTATTATCTGCTTCTCAGCAACTACCCTTTCTGGGGTAAAGGAACCTGAACCATTTCCAAGGTAGCCAGCGGGTGACAGAGTGAAAAAGATTAGAGCTGCCCATCTTTCAAGGGGCTCTCTGACCCCTGCGACCCAGGGAACTGGGACGTAGGAAAAGGACTTCCTCCAAAAGAAGAGTTATCAAAGCTGTCCACCTGGGAAGTCTTTCCCTTCCCAGCCCCTCCCTTCCAGCACCACCAGAAGGAAGCAGGAAAGCATCGGTCATCACAGCCCAGGATGCTGCTTTCCCAGCAGCTCCTATCAGGATATCCCTGCCTTTCCCCAGGGGCTTAGGGTCAAAAACCTGGAGGGCAGATGCTGAGCTGGCCAGCTTCACTCCAGAATTCTTGGCCTCAAAGGGGCTGGGTTTCTAATTGATCCAAGCCAGTGTTGGAGCTGCTCAGCTCCCTGTGAGTCCCAGGGCAGGACAATTACATGACCCAGGGGATAGTGTCCACCATTGAGTGACCTCACGTCGTCGCATACCTCTGCTCAGGTTACAGCCAGGCTTGTGGGAGGACTGAGTTGTCACCGGCTCTCTTCTCCCCTGGATCTATTTCTCTCTCAGGGATGAGTATGTTTTGGGAGCAAGGAGCCAGGGAGGATTCCAGATATGTCTACATTGATGGACAACTTGATCCTTTTTCTTAAAGCCCAGTACGGGCAGCTTCAAGAATGGAAACTCCCCAGCTCAGCCTCTCAGGCCTTCCTACCCCCTTCTGCCCTTGGCAATGACAACAAAAGAGGGAAATTTCAAGGTGATTTCCAGGTTTCCAGAGCAAACCCAGTAACTGAAGATTAACTGTCAGGAGGCGCAATGTCAAGCAGGGGTGCCCAGAGACAGGATGAGAAGGGCGCGCTCTGCAGAGTCCCTGCCCTCCTGTCAGAGATCTGAGGCTGGCCTGCTTGCTGCTGCTGGGGTGTGGGGGTGTGCCAAAGGGGCATGTGATGCAGCCAGGAAGGGAAACCAGAACTATCAGTCAAACCACTGGGTGTCCAAGTCCCCTGGCTCTGGAAAGGTTTCTTCCATTTCTCATCTGGCAAGGGCTCTGAGACAGAAAGGATGTCCTCTGTGGTACCCAGCCCTGTGCAGAGCCTGTGCCTTGTCCTCTAAATAATAGATGCCTCGAGCTCCTGGCCTTCTGAAACAGGCCAAGACTGTTGGGAAGGTATGGGCTGACTTTGAGTATGCTCTTTGTCTGTCTGCTAGTTAGCACCTAACCCTGAGACATATAAACAGAGAAAACTGTATGCAGCAGCCGTGGGGATGCTCCAAGGGCCATCATCCATGGACACAAGTCAAGGTGGCAGGACCCACCCTCCCGGTTCCTCTTATAGCTGTTGCAAAGCTCACCCCAGTCCTGAAAAGTGTCAGGTGGGGCTAGGGATGAACATGGATTCTGCCACAGGAGTGGACAGACAGCAAAGTAAATAGGGGCTAGGAGGAGGGTGCTCCTGGAGGCACAAAGGGCCCACTCACTTCTCCAGGGGGTCAGGTCAAAGACTCTGAGTAATGCAGTCAGAGATCAGGACCCGTGAAGCTGACCTGGGAGCAAGGCAGGGAAAGAAAAAGCAGGGTCCACAATGGTCTTTTGGAGCATCCCCACTCCTAAGTCTAGGAAGTTAACTTCAGAGCTCAGCACTAAACTGAGTTAAGCATAACTACAGCCCGATTCACCATCCTCTCTGTATCGTGTCTCTAGCAGGGTTGGGTAGTCCCAGACAAGGTCCAGACAAATGTTCCTCATCAGAGAGTGCCCAGGCTCCAGCAACTCTGGTCACAAGTGTGACTGCTTCTAGACACCAGAGTCTTCAGGTGCAAGAGGTGGCTCCTAGGCTCCTGTCAGAGGCGAGCCCAGCAGTGGCTGGCTCAGGCAGAGGCATCCATCTGGGCATGAGCCCTCAGGGCAGGGACTGAAGGAAGTCTCCTCAACCACTGATGCTGAAAATAAGACTTTAATGTGCACATTGAAACCTCATATTAACAGTGGACAGAGAGAGCAAGGTGTGGGGAAAACAGTGGCCAACAGCGAGAGCCCAGGAGGTCCCAGGAAGCCAGAGCTGTGAAGACAAAGGCCCCAGGATAGAGGAGATAGCTGGGCAGGTGTGGGAGCTCACGGGTGGGGGCTGCCAGGGACTCAGAAGGATTGCTTGTGGTGGTGGTGGTCGAGCTTCAGGCCGGGCCTCCTCTGGCCTCCATTCTTTACCTTCCTGCTGGGTAGGAAGGCCCTTACCCCTCTAAATGTCTTTCCAAGGGCTGAAGTACTGGCCCTGTAAAGAGAAGAGGGCAACCTTAATGGCCTGGCCCCAGTACCACCCTCTATCCAGGGCCCCTGTATTAGTAATGTCCATTCAACATCTATCAGAGAGGCCTCCTTCATGCCAGGTGTTGTGAGACTATGACCCTCAGGCTCAAGTCCACACACAGTAGGTCAATAAGCCACTTGACTGTCATCTGCCTATGCTACAGGCCCAAGGGTCATGGGAGGAAGATGGTGTTTGCACACTCAGCCAAGCTCCAAAGGCTTCCTCTTCTTCTCACCAGAGGCCAGTGGGATCCAGTTCCTGGGGACTGGGGCGAGGTCTGAGTTCCAGCTTTCTTTTTCTCAGGGATTTGTGATATTTGAGCTCCAAGCCACAGCCTGTGGCTAGTGTGTCAGCATCAAGTCAGAGGTTAGAGGGAATTGTAAGGGAGGAGTTAGGGAGAGGCAAACCAGAGTGAAGTCCAGCTGTCTCTATTAAGGGCTTGGGGGCTCAGGGCCAGCCCAGCAGGGCACTGCTTGTTGGAGAGGTGGGGGGTGTCAGGAAGAGTGCAGATGGGGACTGCTCTGTGCCAAGGATGGTGCTGGCCGTGAGCCCTGACTTGCACATTCCCTCAAGTTGCTTGCGTGAGGAGGAACTCTAGCTGGCTTGCTCATCTGCAAATTGGGTTTCCAACAATCCCTGCCTCACAAGGAGGGTTCTTGGGTGTCCCGTAGGAAAGGATCTTCATTCTGTAAACTTTACCTAGATGACCTGAGGCAATTCCAGGAACAGAGATGAGAGTGGGTACAGAAATGAGAGTGGGTGCTGGGGACGCAGAGGAACGACAGAGCACTCGTTTAGCATGCATGAGGCCCTAAGTTCAAGTACTGTCCCCCCCAAAACAAACAAAACAAAAAACAGAGCAGCCTGGGAAATGCTCTTAATGCAGCAAGAAGCCAGCTGAGGTCCACAGGACGAGTGGACAGGAGGTGGACAGCTGTCGCCTCCGCTGCCCCTTCCTGGCTGTTCATGACAAACTGGGACTGCTCAGTTCTCCAGGGCTGCACACTCTGCTTTTGGTCATAAACAGGCCTCCCTCCGTTCCCTTCTGCATCCCCTCCCGGGGTCCTAGATTAAGAACGAAGGTCCCCTGGGACATCCCCACCCTTCACCACCCTGCCCACTCCACCCTCTGCCTTTGGAGTCCAGCAGCTGCCGCGGGGGTGGATGTACTGCTGTATCTGCCAAGCCCCGCTCTGACTGACCACTTCCCTTTCCTCCTAGGTCTGGGGGATTATGGGACACCACCTGGGGCTGACAGTGGGTCAGCAGGTCCTGCCAGCGGATGTAGGTCTGAGTAGCTAGGTCCTTGAGCTTGGTCCGGTGCATGGCCTGGGGGCTCTCCCGGATATGGGTGCTGATATGGCGGTCCAACTGCATGCACAACAGCTGCAGTTCACCCTGAAGAGGAGGAGGAGGCATGACATAAGCCAGGCGCATTCTAGAGGCCAGGACAAGAGGGAGAACTAAGTCAGAAAGGGAGGAATATCTCTGAGTGACTGCTGGGAAGAGCAGCTTCCAGGGGAGAGGTCAGCATCCCCTGGGAATGGCTCTTGGGCCATGGTGGGAGGAAGAGGCCCTGGCCACCCTTGCCACTTATTTCTTGGCCTCTCACTCTGTAGTTCTGAGGGAAGGCTGGCTCCATCCTGGCTAATGTGGCCCCACATGGCTTGATACAGTAGACACTACTAGGCATCCAACCCTCACCTGCTCCAGCAGCTCGGGAGACTCACCCACTGATCTGGAGTGATGTCCTGGCTACTGACCACCACCCCAGCCAGCGTCAGGAGGCTGTGGCACAGATAGCAGACCTGAGAAGAGAGATCACAACAAAGATGCTTTCCTAACTCATCCTGAGCCTGGCAGCTCCTTACTCTCAGTGTGTAGCAGCAGTGGCAGCAGCAGCTTCCGGGAGAGCATCTTCAAGGAGGGCCTGCATGAACAGAACTTGGCCTTACAGAGCTATGACTGTCCCTGTAGCCTGTACCCAGTAACCACGTTCCTTGTAATTAATGATTGCTCCCAAATGCCTTCCGAAAAAGAAAGAACTCTTGCCACCCAGAAAGCCATACCACCCCAAGCCTTATCCTGGGACTCCAGAAGTGAAAGCCAGGAGGGACTGTGTACTCCAAACTCTGTAAGGCCTGTTTGCTGAGTCACCTATGCCTGTTGTCAGGGACCGAGGTGATACTATCCCCTGTGGCACCAGGAACACTGAGCCAGGCCAAGGACCTTCTTCATAGTCCTGCCTTTCAGCTCACCAGACAGTACCCAAGAAACAACTGCAAACTTCTTGTATGGATTAAGGAACCTCCCCAGAACCACTTCTGAAGGTTCTCAACTTGGCACCACTTCTTGAGACCAAATCCATCCTGTGGAGAAATGCTATGTGGGTACCCAGCAAGCAGCACCTGCTTTGCTCAGGACACCAGCAGAACAGCCAAAGCCTCCAGGGAACCCAACTCCAGGGTTAGGCCAGGCCAGGCTGCAATGGGGCCTACACAGGGCAGGCCCAAAAGAAACAAAGTGAAGAATGGGCTGCAGGGGGGCTCCTCCCTGGGCCGCGGAGAGCTGGCCATCCCAGCTTTAGGCAGAGCCCCAGGGTCCTCTGGGGACACCTGTGTTCTGTAGGCTCAGGCTGATGCACCTCAGCTGTGACTAAGAGTGCCTACTCAGAGCAATGAATGATTTGCTTAACAAATAGCAAATCTCAGCTTCCTGGTACACTAGAGGGAAAGGGTACTTCTGATTCTGGAGACTGTGGGGGCCACAGAGAGGAAGTGACCAAAACGAGAGGGTTTAAGGCACACATGGCCCTATGGGGGTCAGAGGCAGCAGATGACAACACCAGACAGATCCTTAGGGCTGATGGAAGAGACAGGCAGGCGTGGGGAGGAGGCAGAGCTGAGCAGCTAGGCTGCTGGCAGGGCTGGACTAGGGGAAGGGAGGGAGTGGCTTGGGGACAGGGCCCGCAACAGATAGTGTGATTAAAAGTTCCTGGGGAAAGCTGGTGATAGAAGGCAGCAGTATCTGACGTAAGCTGAACACACCAATATACACAGTCTTTCTGGGACAAAAGACTGCAAGATAGGCCTTTCATATTCCTTTTGCTGCACTCCACACAAAGTGGGGGGGGCTGTCTGTCAATCGTGCTAGAGACTAAAGCTCAGGAACTTACATATGTAAAGCTGCATCCTCAGCCCACATCCTCCTTTCGCCCCACATTGCCCCGCCCCCTCTCTCTCACGCACACAATCAAAAATAATAAATTCCGAGGGTGTATGCACTTCGCTCCAGCACTCAGGAGGCAGAGGTGGGTGGATCTCTGGGAGTTTGAGGCCAGCCTGGCCTACATAGTGAGCTCCAGGCCATTCAGGGCTGGCTATACAGTGCGACCCTGTCTCAACAAATAAATAGATACATACATGCAATACTAACAAAGAAAGAGAGAGCGTGCGGTTGAGAGCGGTCAAGGTATTGGCTGCTACGGGAAAGGAGTGAGGGAAGGAAAAGAAAGGGGGGGGAGGAATGATGTAATTATATTTTAATTTTAAAAATAAAAATATTTAAGTAAACTTTTTTTCTTTTTTATTTTTCGAGACAGGGTTTCCCTGTGTAGCCCTGGCTGTCCTGGAACTCACTCAGTAGATCAGACTGGACTCAAACTCACAGAAACCTGCCTGCCTCTGCCTCCTTAGGCCTGGGATTAAAGGCATGTGCCACCCCTGCTGGGCTAAAAATCTTTTTTGAACAATTTAAAAAGGGCTCTTTCTGGCAACTGGGGATATAATTTATTTAGTACACTGCTTGCCTAGCACGCAGGAGGCCTCATGTTCAATTCCTGTACCATCAATCTGGGCCTGGTGTCTCATGCCTGTAATCCCAATTTCTTAGAGGCAGGAGGATCAGAAGTTCAAAGCTAACCTTAGCTATACTGTGAGTTCAGGGATAGCCTGGAGTATCTGAGACCTTGTCTTTAAAAAAAAAAAAAAAATCTGTGTGTGATAGAATAGAATACAACTGATAGAATCAGAATACAAACTAAATTTGTTGAAGGGTTTTTAGCAAGATCTACTTTAACCGAGCCTAACTGGGTTTGGAGCAAGAGAGGAAACAACCCTGGCAAGAAGCTGAGGCTCTTTTCTGACAAGGCAAAGCACTTGGCATTGAGCAAAGTGATGGTGGGAGGTGGCAGAGGGTGCCAGAGAAAACCTCCAAGGGCCGAGGATCTTGGGGTGGGGTAGTGTCTAGGGAAGACTGGGAAGTAGCCTAAGGGTAAAGGCCTGTATGGCTACAGGGTAGGGATGGGTAGGATTTAGTGACCTCTCACCCCTAAGCCCTTTCTCTTGTAAATGCCTTTCTCTAGCACACCCCACCCCCTCCTCAATACATTGTTCCGGCTCGCCCGGGAACAACCAACAACCGTGGACCTTCCCAGGTGGAAGCTTGGAGAACAGGCTGCAGACTCCCAGGAATGCCCTGGAGGCAGACTGTGGAGAGGCTACTAGTGTATTACCCTGTGCACAGGGTTCATTGACTAAGGAAAAAAACAAGCAGCGCAGCACACAGCACAGTTACACAATACAGTTCTCATACTGATTCCCATAACTTGATCTTTGAGGAAAACCCCAGATAAACTTTTTTCCCTCTGGCTTGGTGCAGGAAGGAGGGATAGGGTGTTTCTAAGCAGTTTCTCCAAAGGAAAAATCCTAATGCACAGGGCCTTGGTAAGTTTTCCCCTTGTGAGATGCTGACTTGAGGTGAGGCCTCAAAACTCTATCCATAATTCAGGGCAGGCAGATGCTGGGATCCTCTGCTAGAGGTTTTTTTTTTTTTTTGTTTTTTTTTTTTTTTTTTTTTTTTGAGGGGTGGAGTGGGGAAGGGCTTTGGCCTTGGAATATTGCTCAGTGGCAGAACCCTGGTCTAGCAAAGGTAAGGTTCTGAGTTCCATCCTTCGTCCCTCCAAAACAGAACAAGAGTATGGTGGCTCCTGCCTTTGATCCCAACATTTGAGAGGCAGAGAAGTCTGCATTCCAAGCCAACCTTGTTCTACACAGTGAGAAGCTGTCTGAAAAAACAAAACACAACAAAACTCAGCTGTCCATATAACCCCAGCACTGGGCACGTGACGGAGTTCAAGTTCATCCTCCAGTACATAACAAGCTTTAAGCAAGCCTGGGCTTTGTCTCAAGAAAACAAACCCAAAGCTGCTGATGGCGCATGCCTCCCAGCGCTTGGGAGGCAGAAGGAGAGGCAGGTGGATCTCTGTGAGTCTGAGGCCAGCCTGCTCTACAGAGTGAGTTCCAGGATAGCCCTGCCAAGACTACACAGAGAAACCCTGTCTTGGAAAACAAAACAAAAAAGTAAAAAACAAAGCCAACTTGCAGTGTGGAATAGGCCATGCCCAGACTCTGCCTCTGCCTCAGGATCCTGCTGGTGAAGGTCTCTTATGGAGGCAAAGAGTGGCCGGCTCCTCTGTGCCAGTCAGGGAAGCAAACTGTTAGCAGGAATGGGCTCTGGACCTGGAGCAGGCACAACCTGTGCCCCTTCTTCTAAAATGCCACTGCCTGGGGTCCGAGGAGGGCTCAGGGTGGGGTGGGGAGCAGGCATGCAGTGAAGTGGACAGCCAGAGTGGAGAGCCATATCTTCCTTTCTGTGACAGTGACCAACTTCTGAACTTAGCAAGCCTGTTCCCATCCTGGCTCACCACAGAGACCCAGCAGGAAATGCTGGCCAGAAGACAGGACGTGGGATAGGTAGCCTCTGCCAAACGCCCCTCTGCCCTTTCCCTCCACCTTTGGGGACATAAGCTTGCCTTTCCTTCAATCAAAGGGAGGGCCTTTCAGTGTGCGTGAGTGTGTGTGTGTGTGTGTGTGTGTGTGTGTGTGTGTGTGTGTGTGTGTAGCTGGGGGTGGGTTCAGTATGGCTTTGGAGTCAGTCTTTTATGGTGGCGGGGCTGTAGTGTCCAGGCCTCATATCTTGTTAAGAGCAACAGGGCCCCAGCCAGCTCAGAAGCCCAGCCCCTCCTACATGAACATGAATCCAGGCTGGGAAACCGACAGTGAAAGAGATCCAGGAAATCTCAGCCAACGACTCAGAGAAGAGAGGCAGAGGGTGAAGAACAGAACGTGCCTGAACCCAATACTGACAAGCCAAGGCAGTGCTGTCCCTGGGTCACACTGCCAGCAAGGCCTTTGCTTCCACTTCCTGGGTCTCTCCCCAGAGTCTGGTGGCGGGGCTCTTCCCAGAAGCTCGCTGTGGCATGCCTCATTCCTGCTTTCCCCTAAAACAGGACCCAGGGATGAAAGGATCACAAGGCTGTCACCCAGCAGGCCACAGGCAGGGAGCACCTCTGCTTCTGCTCCAGTTAGCTCTGGTCCGAGCAGTCCCCGAATCTCCTGGATCATGCAGAACTCACTTGCAAGTTTTTGTCAAATGAGACAAAAGGGAACATGGGTGGACATTTCCCAGGAACTTCATCCATCAGGAAATCCCCTCCTAGCTAATGCCAAGGGGGGTAGCTTGGGTGACTTTTGGCAAAGGGAGAAGGGAGTTCCCAGGAAGCCACTTTCTCTAACACAGCAGCATAGCTTCTCCCACCTCAGGTCATGACCAAGGATGAAGCATTTCTTACCCTGGAGTCTTTAGCTGGAACCCTTTCCTCAGAGCCTGCTGGGCAGAAGATGACAATACACTTCCCATGGGCAAAAGGGCTCTGTGGAAACAGGGCCAGCCAGGCTCTAGGCAGCTGCTGGGGCCTGGGGAGACCCGAGGCTGCCTCAGGAACACTGGGGAAGAGGATGAAGGCACA